CGCAAAGACAGGTAGATAAAATGGGTAGTTCTTCAGGGCCATGTCTTTTCAAAGAAACGCTTGAGATCCTCGTTGCCGCCGGAGAAGTCGATGGAGTTCATGGCCTCCACCCGCGCCTCGTCCATATACGCCCGGGTCTGGTACCTGCCGACGATGTACTCCTCGGCGACCTCGATGTAGCCGCGCTCGGCGTACTCGCTGCGGACCCAGTCCTGGAACCTGCGGGCCTCCTCCTGGGTCTCGATCTGCGCCCGTGGGCCGTACATGTCCGTCTTCTCCTCCTCCTCCAGCGACGGCCACTGGTCGCGGCTCAGGCGCCTCAGGGCCTTGACCTCGGGAGGGTCGTGGGCGGGGTCGTCGCCGTGGTCCTGGGCGAGGATCCAGTCGACCTCCTCCTGCGGCAGCCGCGCCAGCTTCTTCCCGGAGGCCCGCGCCTCCTCGTACAGCTCCGAGAAGCCGATCCCGGCCGCGGCCGCGGCCGCTTTCCTTTTGCTGTTGCGCGCCTTGAGTGGACGTGGAGCCTTCTTTTTGGCGGTGCCACGCTGGCGCCGCTTCTGCGCGCGCTCGTCGCCGGCAGGCGCCGCTTCCTTGGCGGCACGCTCGTTCGCCGTCATGCTCCTTGTGGTGCGCCGGCAGGACGAACCCTCCTCGCCGGCCATCGTTTTTGGTCGATGCGATCTACCACGCCGCGAGATTTTGGGGAGGGTTGAGGAACCCTATAGAGCCCGAAGTGGAGGAGGAGCAGCCCAGCCGGAGCCGGTGTTTATTTTATAGAGCCAGAAGTAGGACCGGAACGATCCTATATATATTCCGAAAAATGTTTATAATCGGTGCGCCGGCGGAACATTGCGCCGGTCCGCTGTGCGCGTGCCATGCGAACATGGTCCCACACACGTCTTTATCCCAGCGCTGCTCGTCCACATAAATCTTATCCCTTGCATCGTCTTTTCTTCATCTTCTTTCATCTCCTCAAACAACTTGCCCGCCTGCATGCCTCCTTTTCTCTCGTACGCGTTGTCGCATCCTAGCTCCGGCGAGGCGACCGCCGACGTACCTACTCTGCAAGAACGTGCTCCAAGAAGGCATACATTTGTCAACGGCGCCGCCGCAGTGAGCGTCGCCGTGGAGCTACACGCAGCAAAAAAAAAAAAGCTACAACCGGCATCGACAAAGACGTCGCGACGCTGCTCCCGGAAACAACCGGCATTACATCCTGCTACACCCCGGCGACGCGCCCCCGCAGCACCGCCATGGAATCCGCCACCCTGGAAGCCGCAACCAGCTGAGCCAGAAGCTGCAACCGTCATTGAATTTTGCTACTACCGGCGACAGATTTGCTACATCCATCACGACGAAGCTGCGACCTACTTTGGCGGTTCCTTTTTTTGTTGCAAGGTCCTCAGATTTTGCTATCACCGATGAGGGATTTTACTACATCCATCATGGTGGAGTTGCGACCAGTGACGGCGGCGAGATGAATTGCTGCAACCGTCATCAGTTTTGCTACAACCGGCAACAAATTTGCTACAACTAACTGACCACTTTGCGCCTTGTGACAGCGACGACAATGTTTTTGCTGTAACCATTATCTTTTTTTGCTACGGCAAGCTAAATTTTTTGCGACAACCTATTGGCCATACTGCACCTCGCGACTGGAAGACGACTCGTTTTTTTTCTTTTTGCAGTCACCGTCTACTTTTGCTACTATTAGCAAGGTTGAATTTTTGCTGCAACCGCCGTCTACCACCGTCTACTTTTGCTAACCTGTGAGGTCATATTTTTTTTGGATAAGTTGCAATCGTTGACATGAAATGGTTTAACCCTATATTTGAAAAGTTTCGACCCAGCAACAAAAGGCTGTAACCGGCACCTCACCATTGATGCAATGGTGGCGCTCCTTCGTTAGAGCTACGACCTTCACCGGCAGGAGCTGCATGCAGTGGAGCCGACGAGAGCCACGACGAACCGGGTATTGTAACAGGGCGGGCCATGCTAGGAACAAGCGACGGTGACACTGGAGAGGAGCCTGGCGGCCGGTAGGACGTCCTGGAGACGGGGCGGTCGAGGGCGGCGGCCGGCGGCGACGAGTGCGGCGGCCGGTAGCGACATGGGTGGCCGGCAAGCTGGTTGACGTCTGGGAGATCACGGGAACTGCTCGTGATGAAAATACGCCATGGTTTTTTTTAAACTAGCGAAAGCAGTCGGGGAAGAAGGCATCGTGGGGCTATTAGCGAACGAATCGTACGTACCCGTTGCGGTCGACCGAAATTTCAGCTGGCGCACCGGCGCCTATCACTCGCCATATATTCTACCGGCAGATCGTGCGGGAATATCGGCCCTCGTTCGGTTCGCAGAAAAAGGATTCGCCTAAGTACTTCGGCGCCTCTGTCTTCTTCTTGCCATGCTACCTAACTTCAGGCACAAAACATAGTACTCCTTGCACCATTCTTTGGCGTAAGGAATTGGATATGTCTAGGGCAGAGTACATTTAGATGTGCCCTACTTATTACACATTTAAATGACTCAATCGAACTAGAAAGGAAAAGTAAAAAAGACGAAGAAAAATGCTTGCACAAATCTTAGCGTAAAATCAATGACATATGACTTAGATGTACTACTTAGAGCACACCTAGATGTGTTTTAGCAAAACTGTAAAAAAAAATTGGTCAACTCGTACCATACTAGTAACAATGTTGCACTATGTGCTACTATTAGGATATAACACACGCAAAATATTTTGCGGTCAGGCCATTTGGGTTGTCTTACATTTTTAGATTTACCGTGCTACAACTTGTTGTAATTCAATTTTTTTGTTATGCTGTTACTATCTTTATGTGTGGTTGTTTTTTTAGTGAAAACTTTGTTGTATGTTTCTGTGATTAAAGCAACATATGTTTCATCATTTTAGAAAATTGACACAAAGGAGCTATATTACTTTGAGAGGAATTCCGGTCAATGAAAAACCTCTCTCACGTAATGAGGATCTCCATAGATAGGGGACAGCCGTGTCGAAGGCGAAGATGACATCATGTTCTCCATTGCTTCGAACCTAGGACGGGAGGGGGCCTAGGGAAGAGGCAGTTTCGAATTATGGGGTGGTGAATTTTTTTTCCGGAGGATTGTTTGATTTCGCGGCTATCCTGAATTGGGGGAGTATCTTCTTGTGGAACTGAACTAGCTGACCATTTGTGGGCAAGCGCTGTTGGTATGCTCCGAGCCTATGACACACCGAATTTCAAGTAATGATCAATACCCGCAAAAAAATCAAGTAATGAGTAAGTAACGCAAAACCCCGCTTTACCCTAAACCCGAAATCCCAATCATCGTGAAGCCTTTACTTTTGTAGGGTTTATCGCTTAAAGAAAGTTTTTGGACCACCTAATTTCAACTTATTTGGTCATGGTTGTTGACGGTTGGTTCACTTAAGGTGATGTGGCATTAGTAGTCGCCACATGTGCATCTTTTTTTGTGAAAGGCCGAAGGCCATAAATTAAATAAAGCCAACCCTTATGAGAACTTACTTACAAAAATAAGAAATTAATAGCGAGTTTTTAAAGAAATCATCATCGTCTTCCTCTGTATCCATTGACGCCTTGCATGAGCGAAACTCATTGCCACCTCTGGGCCTCTGTCTCTCCGGAGCAATCTTATTGAATGACGGGATATTGTAGAAGCAGCGACCAAAAAGTCAATGATATAGACAAGAAGACGATGTCGACCACAAGCTGGAAAGATTGTCGTTCGAGAGAAGCAGGCACCAAGGAGGGCCAATAGAATAGTCCCCAACTCTGGCTAGACAGTGGAGGGGGACAAAACCTCACATGTTCCTCGATGGTGTCGTACCTGGGTGAGCTTCATAAACACGCTGCAATGACCTCTCCTCTGCAGGCATATTCACATGGAGAATGATCTACTGCTCTATTTTGGTTGCTACCACCACTTCTCCTCTCTTATGTACTAACACACACAACCCTAGTGTTGGGACTTGGGCTAGGTTGAGCCCGCACGATGTGCCTCGTCGTGGAACAGGCTGCATCGGGCTCAGGCTAGTCGACCCGGACAACCCATTGTGCATGCCAGCAAGAGTGTCTGATTGAGGTTTTTTGCTATCCCGTCTGTTTTTTTTTTCACACAGGGAAGAACTATAGCATCTTAAGGCATCAAAAGTTCAAAACACAAGCGCTAGTTTTTATGGCTTATTTGAGACGACATTTTAGTTCTGATCACATATTGATCAGCAACTGACATACATATCAGTAGGGAAGAATCCCTGTGGTCCTGCCGTACTCGACGAGGTCATCGAAGATTTCACTCAGGTCATTGTACTTGAACGTGAATCCTTCCCCGATGAGCTTCTCGGACGACAGACACACTCTCGGCTTCTCTGGGTACCCATCAAAGCTGCAAAACATATATGTTGGATGTCGTTAAACCAACAACAAAAATATACATGAGTGTGTCGAGTAGTTTAGACAACCGGTTCACATACCGTTCGGGTTTCAAGTTGTATTGTGGGTACTTCTCCGCAAGGAGATGAGCAAGTTGCAGGATGGTGGTGTTGTTGCTGCAGCAGATGTACCTTCCTGCCGAGGACTCATTCTCGGCGACGAACACCTTGGCACGACAGAGGTCGTCCACATGGCATATCGCCAGGGAGTCATCTGTGACCGCCTGCAGGCCTAACAGGACGCCCAGCTGTGCCTCGTCGCCTGCAAAACGTACATGACATGCAGACGTGTGTCACCAATCAAATTAGGGTGTAGCTAGGTCTTATTAGATTTAATCAAAACTCAGTCAAGTGATATAATATGCAAGAGAGAAAAGGAAAAAAAACTGAAAATAAAATTTTGCACAGATCTTAATGTAAGATCCCATGAATATAGCATCGACTGAGACTTGACTAAGACTTAGCAAGACTAATGAAATCAACACCTCCCTGAAACCAAAACTTGCCTTCCTGCATATTTCAGTTAGCAAGTGCTGACTAAGCTGTAAAAAACACAGAGAAATGCAAGCAGGGATGCCTCTCTCTGACCGGATAACAGGGAAAGGGTGATGGGGACGCTGGTTCTGGCCTTGGAATCCGGCGACGCACCCAAGGTGTACACGGGCAACATGGTGACAAGGCTCATGTTGTTCTCCTCCGCGAATTCGTTGGCCGCCTTCTCCAGAAGCACCTTGGACACCGCGTATCCCTGCCATGCAAATTACACATAACCAATATTGCCTTCGTCAGAGAAACAGAATAAAAAGATTTATGTACCCAAGTTGGTGGCTTGTTGGCTCTGAGATACTCAACATCGGACCAGGAGCTCTCGTCCAGCACGTGTCCGCCGCCGTGCAGGGGTCTCCTCGACACCGCGGCGTCTGAAGATGTGAGTATCACCCGCTTCACCGTCCCCGCTCTCACGCAGGACCTCATCACGTTCAGGGTTCCTTGGACACCAGCTTCGATCAGATCTCTCTGCCGTCGAACACCAAGTTATCTCACAAAAGAAAATAAACTGACATAATTGTGTTACCACATGTGAAATGTCAACTGTGGGGTGAACTGAAGCTTTTTATAGCCGATAATAATTTGTCAGAGAGGGGGTCATGGCTGACAACTTAAATGGTGTCCCGACTCACTCCTAACAATCGTGCAAATGAAAAAGAAACATGGTATCCCAGCAAAAGAAAAGAAAAGAAAAAGAAACATGGTAGAAATGTGTGTTTACCTCAGGATCTGCTGATCCGAGGTTGGTCGGAGCTATAGAAAATGAGGCTTAAGCGTATGCGGTTAGCAGGGACGCGTGCGTGTTAATATAGCCATCAAGGGCTGCGAAATTACAAGGTTGTTAGGTTGTGGATTGATCTCCAAGTCATATGCTAGGATAAGATGCAATCACAACAACCTAACCGGTTACAACAACTACACGCACACATACACTATACGGTTTATAGGATACCGTATGTACATCGTTTAACACTCCCCCTCAATCATAACTTATCTAAGTTGAGATTGCGTCGAAATGCCTCCAGCTGCCTCAAAGAAAGGGGTTTAGTAAACCCATCTGCAACTTGATCACCAGTAGGAACAAAGTGAACATTCAACAGCTTGTTAGCGACCCGTTCTCGAACAAAGTGATAATCTATATCTATGTGCTTCGTCCTGGCATGAAAAACAGGGTTGGCAGACAAATACGTAGCACCCAAATTGTCACACCACAATGATGCTGCCTTGGGATGATGAACACCCAACTCTGTCAACATGTTTTGAACCCAAATTACTTCAGCAGTGGCATTAGCTAGGGCCTTGTACTCAACCTCTGTACTAGACCTGGAGACCGTAGCCTGCTTACGAGCACTCCATGAAATCAGATTTCCACCAAGAAAAACTGCAAAACCTCCAGTGGACCTCCTGTCATCAGGACAGCCTGCCCAATCCGCATCAGAAAACGCACTGATAAGCGTAGAGTCTAACTTGCAAAGCTTAAGTCCATGAATCTGTGTTCCTTGAAGGTATCTGAGTATCCTTTTTACAGCAGTCCAATGAACAATAGTAGGAGCATGTAAGAATTGACAAACCTTATTAACAACATATGCAATGTCTGGCCGGGTCAATGTGAGGTATTGTAATGCTCCTACAATACTCCTATACCGAGTGGAGTCTTCAGATGTAAGAATATCGCCATCTCGAAGAGATAACTTCTCAGAGGTGGACAAAGGTGTAGGGGAAGGTTTACACCCTGTCATTCCCATCCGCTGAAGTATCTCTTGCACATATTTCTCTTGTGACAGAAGAACTCCACTTACAACATTTTTCACCTCAATACCAAGGAAGAAGTGCAAAGCACCTAAATCTTTTAAAGCAAAATCCAAACTCAGATCCTTAAGAAGAGCTGCAACTGCTTTGGGTGAAGAACTTGTAACAATAATATCATCAACGTATATGAGCATAAACATAGTTACTCCATGCCGATGATAGAAAAACAATGAGGTGTCTCCTTTGGAGGCAAAGGAACCAAGTGACCGAAGTTTGGAGTACAATCGATAATACCAGGCTCTTGGTGCTTGCTTCAAGCCATATAATGCTTTATCAAGCTTGTAGACATGGCGTGGTGAGACTGAGCTCTCATACCCAGGAGGTTGCCTCATAAAGACTTCCTCTTCCAGAACACCGTGCAAAAACGCGTTCTTCACATCTAGTTGACGCATGCACCAATTTCGAGAAATTGCAATGGAAAGAATTAACCGGATAGTAGCAGCTTTTACCACAGGGCTAAAAGTGTCTTCATAGTCAACTCCATACCTTTGCTTAAAGCCTTTAGCAACTAACCGTGCCTTATACCTGTCAATGGTGCCATCAGACTTCCTCTTTATCTTGTACACCCATTTGCAGTCAATCACGTTCCTCCCTTTGACAGGTGGAACTAAGCGCCAGGTTTTGTTGTCCATGAGGACGGAGTATTCCTTGTCCATTGCCTTTCTCCACTTCGGATCATCAAGAGCATCTCGCAGATTCCTAGGTTCACCTGCAGCACAAAAAGACCCCCACCGAATACACCCATCTTTGTAAACTCTTGGTTTAGCAATGCCACTCTGAGATCTGGTGTGTGTACGAGTAGGAGAGGGCGGAGGTGGTCGAGCGGCTTGAATTTGCAGCCTGTTGGAAGAAGTAGAAACGCCAGAATCTGAATGAGCCATAGAAGATCCAGAGTCAGCCGCACAAGATCCGAGGGCGAACTCATGTGGAGATTCGGCCGATCCAGCCACAGCGCCTGGTACAGAAACGCCACTTGGCCGCGGCGGACTCGACACGATTGGCTGAGAGGGGCTCGGCCCACCCGGGCCAGTGCACGCGGTCGGGTGGGTGGGGTCCGGCTCGCCCGGGTCAGTGCGCGCGGTCGGTTGGGTCGGGCGCGGCGCGCCAGGCCGACCACGTGGAGCGTGCTCGCCCACAGAAAGAGAATCCGCCGAGGCACAGGTAGCCCCACCAGGGAACAACGGGGCAGAGGGCCCGCCCGGCCGATCGCCTGGCACATCTGCTGGCGCCGATCCCGCGGGAGATCTGCCTGACGCGCCTGCCGAGCCGGATCCCGAGGAGATTCGCCCGCCAGAATCAGCATCGGAGGTTGCGCCTGGATTATCTGCGTGCTGCATAAAATCATGCATGTTTTCACCAATTTCTTCACCATTTTCTGCATGAGTGTCCGGCCCTGTTTCCTGCACACTATGAGCAGACTCTTCATCAAGCGTATTAGCCATAGACACAAGACCAGTAGCATCGACTCCCCCTGGAACAAAATTGGGTGAAGGCAAAAGATGAGGTGGCAGCAAAACAAGTTCTTTGCATAGTTGGGTGCCGGCATTGGGATGAAGACTAGAAAAAGGGAAAACTTGTTCATCGAAGACGACATCTCGAGAAATATACACACGTCCGGAGGAGATGTCTAGGCATTTGTAGCCTTTGTGGAGACTACTATAACCCAAGAAGGCGCATTGCTTTGAACGGAACTCGAGTTTGTGTTTGTTGAACGGGCGCAAATTAGGCCAAACAGCACAACCAAAGATACGCAGAAAATTATAGTTGGGTTTAGTGCCAAAGAGTCGTTCTAGTGGAGTTTGATTTTTGATAACTCTACTAGGAACATGGTTAATGAGATATACCGCTGTGAGGAATGCTTCATCCCAAAACTTGAGAGGCATAAAAGCATGAGCTAGAAGGGAGAGGCCAACTTCCACTATGTGACGATGTTTTCGCTCGGCAGATCCATTCTGTTGGTGAGCGTGGGGGCAAGAGACATGATGAGTAATACCAATGCGTTCAAAGAAAGAGTGCAAACTCTGGTACTCACCACCCCAATCTGTTTGCATAGCAATAATTTTGCGGTTAAACAAACTTCAACATGAGCTTGAAAGAGATGAAATTTCTCAAACACATCAGACTTGTTCTTAAGCAAATAAATCCAACTGAATTTGCTAAAATCATCAATGAAATTGACATAATATTTTTGTTTACCTACAGAGATGGGTCCAGGACCCGAAACATCTGAAAAAATAAGCTCTAAAGGAGCTTTGGATTCACTAACTGAGCGAGGATAGGGAAGTTGGTGGCTCTTGGCCATCTGACATGCATCACACACGAGGAAGTGATCTTGTTTATTGGACACAGGAAGATTAAAATCTCGAACAATTTTCTGGACTATCGGAAAGGAGGAATGTCCTAGGCGCTTGTGCCACCGGGATGTAGATGGTTTAATTGCTCCAAGGGCTTGCCGTTGGGGAGCACTGTGGTGCCCGGTGACCGGGAACAGGCGCCATCTACTCTTGTTTTGAAGTATGGTCCTCCGGGAAGCCTGATCCTTGACAAGAAAAGTTTCAGGATGAAGTTCAATAAACACGTCATTGTCTTTCATGAGTTGATAGGCAGAAAGAAGGCTTTGCTCAGATTTAGGAACATGAAGAATATTGTTCAAGTTTAATGAGCCGGAGGGAGTAGATAAAACTGAATGTCCAACGTGTGCAATGGCCATACCTTGCCCGCTAGCGGTGTGTATCTGTTCGTTGCCGGTGTAGCGGTCCCGAACAGCCAGCTTGTCGAGCTCGCCAGTGATATGATCGGTTGCCCCGGTGTCAAGATACCAGTTGGTATCTACACCGTATGAATGCGCAGCATTGGCAGATCGATATTGGCCGCCATTGCCACCACCGCCGCCACCATTGTTGCCGCCACCATGTCCGCCACCAACGCCTCCTGTGGGGTTTCGGACATTGTTGTTGTAGCCCTTGTCGTAGCGTTTTCTGCATCGCCACGCTCCATGGCCATCCTCCTTGCAGATCTGGCAGCGTTCACGATCACCACCTTGCTTGCGTGGCGCACCACCAGAGGAGCCACCGCCGGAGTTGTCGTTGTAGCGAGGAAGGCCGGAGTTGTTGTTGTAGCCTCCTCGTCCGCCACTGCTGCCACCTCCACGATCATCGCGGCCACCACCACGGGAAGCAAGATTGGCGGAGTGCTTGGGGAAGAAGGCCGCCTGCTGAGCGAGGATGCGTGACTCGGCCGCCAGGATGTAACGCCCCGGATCCGATGCGCCAGGTGTCTGCCAGTTATTCGCCTTTGTTGCCATGTCATTTGCTTGCGTGTTGCATTTTGCCATGTCATCATCTGCATTTCATCTGCATATTTTTCAAAACTTGCATCCGTTCGGGTCCTCCCGGTTCTCTCCGTTGTCCGTTCGGAGTCCAGACCACACTCGCACGCGCCCGCGGCACCTCCGAAATATTATTTTATAAGTGGCATAAAAATGTTCTCGGAATGGGTTGCAACTTGTCGTGCGGTCTTATTATAGTGTAGACAGGCCGCCTGCCAAGTTTCGTCGCATTCGGAGTCCATTTGATAGCCCAACCGTTAAATATAGCGGTACCGTTGCCGGTACCTTC